CAAAGGGGGGGGGGTTTTGGGAGGCCAAAGATGCTGTATTCAGTGTATAAGACGCACCCAGATTTTCACCCTCTTTTCTGAGGGAAAAAGTTGCATCTTATACTCCGAAAAATACAATAAGTCCGGCACACCTTGAATTCCGCTGACTCTTATCTACCACCAATTCGTTTTGACCATTAGTAGTTCAGATTCTTGTAAAGAACATTAGCATACAATAAACCAGGTGTGTCAAACTCAAGGCCCGCGGGCCGGATCTGGCCCACGGGGTGCTTAGATCTGGCCCGTGTGGCCGCCCTGGAAATAGCGAAGGACTACCCGCTTTTGCTGGCAGAGAGTTGCAGGAGGATCCACCCCCCCAGCCCTGCTCAGGCCACCGCAGGTGCCCCGTCACGAGTGATATCAATCTGGCCATGCCTACTCTGACCACACCCACCCCATCCATACCCATATAACCCCTGAGGTCAAACACAACCCTTATGCGGTCCTCAATGAAATCGAGTTTGACACCCCTGCAATAAACCAATATTCATTTGAACTGCCTGGACTGCTGATTTCCTGCACTTCACACTGCCACGCCTTAAACCAAGATGGATCTTTTGCAAAATGAGACTGCAGCTATGAAGAGTGGTTGAAAGCCAGGGGAAAGTCACAGCTGCTTTAAAGAGTTGCTGGCAACTCCAATGGGAATATTCTGTACCTTTCCAAACACAATATTTTTCGGAGTATAAGACGCACCAGAGTATAAGACGCACCAAGTTTTTGAAGAGGAAATTTTTTAAAAAGTTTTTACACTCTGCAGACCTCTCAAAAATGGCCTGTTTTTCACAAAAATGAGCCCTTTTTTAAAAAGGGGGGGCATGCATAGCCTTAAGGAGCCTTATAGGGTACTCCTGGGGGGTGGGGAGGCCTGGAAACAAACAAAATAATGGGCCGTTTTTTGCAAAAATGGGCCTGTTTTTCACCAAAAAAACGGGCATGCATATCCATTAGGAGGCTTATAGAGTGCTCCCTGGGGCTTGGGAGGCAAAATTGAGCAAAAAATGGCCCATTTTCCGCTCATTTCTGCCCTCCCCAGCCCCCAGGAGCACTCTGGAAGCCTTCTAAAGACTCTGCACGGCCATTTTGATGAAGGGGCAGGGTTTCAGGAGGCCAAAAATGCTGCATTCAGTGTATAAGACGCACTCAGATTTTTAGCCTCTTTTTTGAGGGAAAAAGGTGCATCTTATACTCCAAAAATACAGTATATATTTGGAAGAGTTGTGGTGGTGTAGTGATTAGAATTAGTTCTGCAGGCTATTTTAGGAACCACATTGGTGGGAAGGGAACAACGTTCCATGCGCCTTCGGTGTTTAGTTATGCCGGCAACATGACCACGGAGACATCTTCGGACAGTGCTGGCTCATCAGCTTTAAAACGGAGATGAACAAAGGCCCCTACAGTCGGGAACGACTATCACATATGTATGAGGTGAACCTTTACCTGTGTGTGGGTGTAAATAAGGGGGGGGGTAGAATAAATGGATGGATGGATGGATGGATGGATGGATGGATGGATGGATGGATGGATGGAGATAGATATAGAGATGATAGAGAGACTGGAGAGATAGATGATTGGATGGGTGGATTGANCTTTTTCCAAAGTCTCAACATCTTTTTTGTAGTATGGTGACCAAAATTGGTTGCAGTATTCCAGGTGTGGCCTTACTAGGGTTTTATAAAGTGGTGTTAGTACTTCACGTGATCTTGATTCTATGCCTCTATTTATACAACACAGGATTGTATTCACTTTTTTGGCTGCTACCACACAATGCTGGCTCCTATTTGAGGGATCATCCACTAAGACTTCAAGGTCCCTCTCATTGTTTTTGAGCCAGGTCTCGCCTAATTTTATACCAGAGGTGGTATTCAGCCAGTTCTGACAGGTTCTGATGAACCGGTAGCGAAAATTTTGAGTAGTTCGGAGAACAGGCTGGCCCCGCCCCCAATCTATTCACTGCCTCCCAACTCCCAGCTGATTGGCTGGGTCTTCTTTTGTTGCCCTGCACAGGAGAACGGAGGTGGAAAGCAGGTTGGTGGGGTGGGGAGAGATTGGGGATTTTGCAGTATCCTTCCCCTGGAGTGGAGTAGAAATGGGGATTTTGCAGTATCCTTCCCTTGGAGTGGGATAGAAATAGAGATTTTGCAGTATCCTTCCCCTGGAGCGGGAGGGAATAGAGATTTTGCAGTATCCTTCCCTTGGATTGGGTTAGAAATGGGGACTTTGCAGTGTCCTTCCCTTGGAGTGGGGTAGAAATGGGGACTTTGCAGTATCCTTCCCCTGGAGTGGGAGGGAATGGGGATTTTGCAGTATCCTTCCCCTGTCATGCCCACCAAGCCATGCCACATCATGCCCACCAAGCCACACTTACAGAACCAGTATTAAAAAATTTTGAATCCCACCACTGACTTATAACTTTGATTTTTCCTGCCTAAATGCAAAACTGATGATTCTCCATTCACCTTCAAGCTCAGATCCCTCTTCTGGTGTCAACTCCACAACCAGTTCCTTATCCTCTTCATCCCTTGCCAGCCAACGATGGGCTACGAAATTATAAACCTCCATAGGATCCGGCTGGTTCGTCTCCTCTCCTTCTTTCTCTTCCGGGGGTTTCTTTTTCTTCTTTTTCTTCTTTTTGTCATGCTCGCTGGTCTTTGTGACCATTTTTTTAATGACGACGTTTTCCAGGAACCATCCGTCTGCGAAGCCTGTCCCATCGTGGCCAATTCGGATCTTATAGATCCTGCCAACATCAACAGCTCCTATCTTTAACAGGGATAACAAAATGGGAGCGGTAAAATATCGTTTCAATTTTGTTTTAAAAGAGTGTTGCACGCCACTAACTCATTAATCCGGATAATAATACAGAATTTTTTTCTTTATAGCGCAGATTACTGGGTAGAAAGGAAGTTTGTGGTATAGATGTTGCCTATTTGATTTTTGATTTTTGATTTTATTTGATTTTAAGTTTATTTATAGGCC